GGGGAACAGCTTTCAGTGGTTTGCATTATGAGTGAGACATCTACGAGCGTTAAAGATACTGAGATTAGCACCTTCTCCTTGGCCTTCTTTTTCTTGAAACGAGTGGCTTAAGTGGAGGCACTTCGAACAGAGAGCAGAGCAGCGCACGCTCTGAACCCATCTCGCCCACATCGGAGATCGATGACGACTGCTCCTCCACGAGAGCTGTGTTCACTGAACGCTATTCACATAAAAAGTGCAAACACGCACTGCATCGCTCTTCGTCTTTTTGAGCACCGTTCCCGGTGGTCCCTTGTGGCTGATCCCCACACACGCCATTAGCGATGGTCTCCCTTCCATCGTTAGTATGCAAACCTTAACTTCGTATCCGGCAAATGGTGCAGCTGTTTGCAGACACATCTCATTGTGATAAAGGGTGATTGTTTGGCAACGGAGCTAGATGAATTTGAGTAGTTTATTGGTGGAGTGACCTATTTTACTCGCAGTGCATCGTTTCTCGTAAATGATAGGACATGTGGTGAACTTCAGGTGGCGAGATCAGTCTGTAGAGCTGTAGTAGGTCTTCAACTCAGAAGAAGCCACTGTAAAATGCGTATGTCACAACAACTCTTCTGCCTGATTAGTGGCAGTAGTAAATGCTCCCGTTCTATGTGCAGAATTCGCATGCCTTCTTTAGTCGCGGTACGAAAATGCTTTAGTCGGATTGGCCACTTAAATCAGTAAAGTAAAAAATAATTGTTCTGGTGGGAAGGTGACACAATTACATAGTTTAAAGGGCTCAAAAGTAGATTTAAACTCTGTTTATTATTGTTCAAATTGGTTATTACCTCCAGTAGGACATAAATGGTCGTGCACTCTGCGACATGCAGTTTTGATTTTAAAGCACTTTCTTTTTTTCCTTGTAAACACCTCTGAGCTTTACTCCTAATATTAAAGAAGTGGTTACTTAAATATTAGTCTTTAAGCATTCCACGGAGTTGTGCTTCCACTCTCTCTCTCTCTCTCTACTGACCAGCTCATTAAGCAGATGT